TTGCCTCAAAATCCTTGGCTTCAAGTTTCAGCTTTAGAGCGGCATCCTAGGCAAGTCACTGGACTTCCCTTAGCCTTACTTTTTTCTTTTCTGAGAAGCACAGAAAGCTCATAGGGTTATTGTGAAGATGAAATTGAAGCAAGATTTTTTCCTGGAACACACAGTGTTCCCCTGGGGAGGATGGTTACCGGGCTCTCTGTCTGGCGGAGTCGAAGAATGAATCAATCTACAGACAGAAGATGGTACAGCAAAGGTGAAAATTTATTAAAGAACAAGTACAGACTCCCATGCGGGGAGGGGGAAAGAGTCCCACCATGTCCCTGTCTTCAGGGTTTATAAAGGCTGTAGATCTTTGTGCCTTGATATCCCCTCTAATTGGCCACTGTTCCCTTAGACTGGTTACTAGAGTAACTCCTGAGCTTAAAGGTCAAATCTCACATGGGATATGTGAGGTTTTCCTCCCCTCCTTCCTTATTGTTTTCCTATTCCCATTGGGTTTTCTTCTTCTCCTTTGAATGAGGGGTTTCTTTCCCTTTATTTTGGAAATATAGACCTTCTGCTGTTTCCAGCTCCCTCATTCTATGGAAATGTACGTGTTGCAGCTTTTCAGCTCCCCTATTTTATGGAAATATACCTTCTGCTGCTTTGCAGCCCTGTGCTTCTTCCATGGTCCCCTTAATTTCTAAAATTTCCTAAACTTATCTTTCTCAGCCCTAAAAATTCCTGTTTCAAAATGAGATAACACATGTAATTGCTTTGTAAAAAAGAGTTGCTATTATGTTTCTTACCCGAGTTCTAGGTATACTCATTGTTTATTCAAATGCTGTTCATTGGCATAAACCCTGCTGACAATAAACTATATTTTTTGTAAATAGACAATGCCACTTTTCATCCCATTACTCTGTTCTTCCATTTATCAAAAGTTGCCTAATAAATAACTATACTCCACTTCTCATCACTTTAACACATGCACTTTTGGTGATTTTGTCCAAATCCAATGGCACAGCTATATCAGGGTTTTGTCTAACAGTGATCTATTTCGCCCATATTCTCAAAGTACTCATGGCCCGTCTTACCATACTGAATCAGAGGACTGAGTGAGGTCATCAGATCAACTTCTTTTCCCCTGGAAATCACCATTTCTACTTGCTGTCAATATCTCCCATAAAGGAAGTGTCAACTCTCATATAACTGCCTTGGTAATCAGTAATTTTTTCTTTACATCTCCTCTAAATCTTTTGCTACCACTATAACCATATTTTTTGTCATAATCTTTTCATTGGAAATAAAATACAGATGGTCATATGTCTGTGTATTTGAAGAATCAAAACTTAGGAAGAAATTATAAATATAAAATTACTTTGCATTTTAGGCTTTTCCATTCAGTTTTCTGTCAACATGGCTGAATTTATCTTGCCTGTCATCACAAGTGGCACTATTTTTGTTATGCCCAGATTTCAGGATCCCCAAAAGACCACCAGGGAGCCAGCCGTGTCCGATGCAAAAGTAAAGAGTCTTTTATTCAAACCCGGGTCTGGCTCCCCTACCCTCCTTACTGACACAGCAGCAGGTGGCAGAGAGAGGCCTAGCCCAGTGTGAAGAGGAGTTTTATAGGGGGGTGGAGTAAGGGGAGGAGAGGGGACTGTGGGCCCTGCCGATTGGCCAGGCGCAAGTCGGTGTCTCGTTACACAGGATGTGGTCATATCAATGGCGTGCACTTCCCTTGATTGTCATTGGTTAGTTTAGAGAAATCCTGGGTGTGGCTAGCAGAGGCTTTGGCTTCCGGGAAGAAGCCTAGCCGAGCACATGGCTCTGCCCAAAAATGGAGGACCCAGGGTAAGATGGAGGGTGTAGTCCTCGCCCTTTCAGTTTTGATGTGTGAAAAGACAGAATTAGTGCAGCTTTGAAACAGTGCTCTGTGATGGCATCCCTGCTTTTCAAGGAGCAGCTATAAAGGACAGCTTCCCAGTTCTATAATTGGACCTGTGGAGAGGGGCCAAAACTCTTATTGCTTGTTATCAAGGGGCCCCAGTGACCAGGAACATAGCAGATTGACCTTACAACAGGCCCAGCTAGACCCAGAAAAAATGCAAAATATTACACCCCACTATTATTACATCCCATTTTAGGTGATAAGAAGCTGAGTTAAAAATGGATTGGAAACTTGTCCAAGGTTTCATAGCTAATGGAGCTAGGCATCAAACCCAGGAAGTATGGCTCCAGGGTCTGATAACTGTTATTAACTATCCTTTTTTTCTTTGAGGGTTGGGGGCTTTGGTCAACTTTATTTACATTTTCAAGCCCAGGTCTTTCCACACACAGCAATTAAAAAACAACAAATTCCTATTAACATTTTGATAAAAATAATGACACTGACTATGAAAATACTACATATCAGACTATTAATAGTGAAACTAAACCAACATTTTAGTGGAATATTTGGGAGATATTTAAGTTCCAGGTTAGGGCTGAAATCGGGTTAGGAATCAAAAGACCTTGGCAAGTGGCTTCATGAACAGGTTTCTGAGGCCCATGTGGGCTTCACTTTTCACTTCTCTACAATGAAGACGTGAGATAGCTCAGCGTTTCATAAGCGCACGCCCTGGAGCTCTAGGCTCTTTGCCGACAGTAGGGAACGGAAGTGGGAAGTGCATGGGTATCTTTAGTCTCCACATTCCCAACCTTCAATTCAAAGCAGGACAAATCTGCATTTATCTAGTTCATATATTTAGGGTCTGAAGCAAATTTTATTTGGGGGAAAACAAAACAAAACAGGTTCTGCTGCAAACCAATGAAACAGGAATTTGGGGGGTTGAAAAAGACAGGTTTTAGGAAATTTTAGAAATTTTAAAAATTAAGGGGACCATGGAAGAAGCACGGGGCTGAAAAGCTGCAACAGGTACATTTCCATAGAATGAGGGAGGTGGGAACACCAAAAGGTCTATATTTACAAAATAAAGCGGAGAAGAAAGCCCAAGGGGAATAGGAAAACAGTAAGGAAGGAGGGGGCCCTTCTTCCTTTGAGCCCAGGAGTTACTATAGTAACGAGTCCAAGGGAATAGTGACCAATCAGAGGGGATATCAAGGCACCAAGATCTGCAGCCTTTATAAGCCATAGGGAAAAGGAACTCAGTGGGACCCTTTCCCCTTCCCCACATGGGAGTCCGTTCTGTGGGACTCTTTCCCTCTTCCCATGTGGGAGCCTGTACTTGTTCTTCAATAAATATCCACCTTTGCTATACTACCTTGTCTGTGGATTCATTCTTCAACTCTGGCGGACAAAGAATCTGGGTTCCAGTCCAGGGGAATGCCACGTGTTCCAGTCCAAAAATTATGCATCATCAAGAAAGGGAACAGGAAAAATATGGATCATGTAAAATATAAGAGCTCTGTCATCTATGACTTTCTTAGTTTCTAAATATGATTAACATGGGGATTCCCATGGGGTTTTAGTAGTAGTTTTTGAATGTTTTCTTCTTTTAATTTTTTTATTTGCTTTTCCCCCCTCACCCTCCCTAAGGCTGGATAAAAGTAATCCAACAAGAGCTATTACAACACTGAGTGGAACAGACATGACCCTTGCCCTCAACAATTTTATGTCATGGTAGGAGAAACAGATTGAAAGAAGTAGGCAAATGAACAAGATGATTTCTAAGAGTGTTAAGTGAAGGTAACAAAACCAGGGTAATGCAATAGAGAATAAAGAGGAGTGTGTCCTACAGATAGAGTGGTCAGAGAGGCCTCTTTCAAGGTGATAACTGAGATGAGATTCAAATGATAAGTCAGCCAGTGTGGCTGGAGTGTTAAAAGCAAGGAAGTGAATCATAGGAGAGAAGGTCAGAGGACAAATAATGCAAAAAATTGAAAGTGTTACTTATGAGTCTGAATTTTATTCTAAAGCAATATAAAAAAAAAACACTAAGAGTTTTAATCAGCAAAATAATATGATATGATTTATGTTAAAAGAAAAAAATCCACTCAGGATTTCCATACGGGGAACAGCCTGTCATGGAACAAGACTGGGGGTGAAAGAGTAGAAATTACTGCAGTCATTTTCTGTGGGTCCAGATTGATCTGGCTCAGTGTGGACAACAGATAGATTCTATTTTCAGTCATCAGATACACTCCTCCTTCTAACTTATTAGTCAATTTCTAATCAATGTTAATAAAGAATTGCTCTCTCAACACTTGTGGGCTTTTTTTATTTAAATACTACTCTTTATGTCAACTGACGTGTGTTCCTTCTGAAGATCTGAATTTTTGTCACTTTCCTGCATTTTGATCATTTTGTTCATGGAGCCATATATAATGAGTTGCTTACTTTTTTAAAGAATTGCCTTAAAATGTATCACATATTCTGCTATTTATTTTAAGAATTCAGGAAAATGAACTTCATATTCATCCTAGAAGTGGAAAATGAAACTGCTTTTTCAGCATAGTTTTCTCACAAACTCTGCTCTCTCATTTAGTTAAACACTAAAGAACCAACAATACTTATTAATCAAACCTGGAAAAATAAAAATTATACAAACAAAGTCAGAACAAGAACTGAGTAGGCTATCTGAGCATTCCTAAACTTGGTAATAAATTACTCTTTGTACATTCAGACCAAGTGGGAACTTCCAAGACTCAGAAGAAGATAACGGCTTTACTTTGTATTCTCAGCTATCATCAGCATGAATGAGCATTCTTTCCCCTGGAAACTGGCCCGGACAGTAGTTGTTGTAGTAATATATAGAAATGTTTAAAAATGCTTTTAAAATGCCTGAAAAATGTTAAGAAGGTTTTAAAATGTTTAAATTAACTTTCCTTGAAACTTAAAGTGTGATATTAAGGACACATTCCCCACTGCCCTGAAGCGTGTGTCCCTCATAGATAAGGATTTGAACTTCATTAAATAACTCAGAGTGACTTGTCAAGATAACCTTTGAGTGAGTGATGTACTCTCCCTAGATAAGCACGTGTAGCCCTTCACCCTGTTTGAGATAAACGTGTGCATTGACATAATTCATTGATAGCCACCTGCACTGCCGCAAATGGGGTACAAGCTTTAAAAATGGGGATCCTGACAAGCCCGGTGCTTGCCTGTTGAGATAGCCACAAAGGCACATCCTCTTGTCAGTCTGGCAAGCGACGCTGCTCCACGCTCCTCTTCCTGCCGAGAATGGCCAGTACCTCCAGATTGAGACGTGACTGGTGACTGAGCTCTCGGGTGAGGAATGCCAGCCCCCTGCATGCAGACCGGACCAGCCCAGCTGCTAGACCCCAGAGGACAGCACCACTGGGATCCCCAATAAACCTGTACCAGCAGCACCAGGAATTGTGTGAGTAATAAAGTGCTGTGTGATTTGCAACTGCATATGTTTCATGTGGTGTAATTCTTCTGGAAGTTAATTGAATTATTTTTCGTATGCTTAAAATTTAAATTAAAGCTTCTGACCTTTTTGGTCCTAAGCCTGCCCTTGGTCCTGCTTGTGTAGAGTAGCCTCTTTGCTAGCAACTACTTGAATATCCCACACCTGCACGGTTAAAGTTTGTCTCAGGGATGCCTTAGATAAATACCCCAGATCCTTTCCTAGGATCTACTTGGGACATCCATGTCACTTATACTCCCTCACCATTTTTAAACCTAGTGGTCAAAAACCGTGGCTTGTGTCACATACACAAGTGTTGTAAGAATTCGGGGTTAAGCTGCTAGCCGAAACAACTCAAAACCCACATCAGAAGAAATAAATAACATTTCAATTCCACAGCAAACAGGTATTATGCACCTAGTATGTGCTGGCTTTTTGTCAGCCTTGAAGATACAAAAATAAGGTGTGCAATGTATTGCAGTTATTCATTATGATGGGTTACATTCAATTGAAGCAACTAACCTTTGAACATGCAAAGAAAAATCTCAAATAGCTAAAAACAAGGAGAGAGGATCTCTACCTCAAGGTTAAGCAGAAATTTTTAAATAGCATTGGAAACTGCTTCGGGGGTCTCACAAGCAATACCTGAAGGATGTTCTAAAAACAATCTCAGATTGCAACCAGTAACTATTTGTATTCCATTCACTCCCAGCTGCTTTTTCATACAACTAATCAGGTACCTTCTGCCTTTCATTTTTCTGGCAATATTTTTTATTTATGTTCACTTTTTGTCTTGATTTTATATGGTTGCAATGAATTTATTCTGTCAGCTGAAATATTTAAGTCAAAAAAGTTCAACTGTATGTATGGCTGGGGTTTATCTTCCATAATAGCTCCATACCTGTTTTTGCAGATGGCTCAATTGACTTATTTTATGAGTTTTCATACTGTTTCCTCTAACACCAGTTAGGTATCTAGATAATTAACTTACCAGGGCTCATACCACATCCATCATCCAGGAAGTTCATGAATCTGTCTTGCATTTTTTCATTATCCACTGAAGGAGCATATTGAGCTTAATTTGTTCATCAGAAAGTCATGCTGCTCACAGAATTATTCGTCCTCCTCAAATGCAGCCACTGAGTGACAGAGTTATGGCACAGTGATAGAGCTCAGAAAGGCATTTTGATTACAATTTCACAAGAAATTACAGAGGGAAAACAATCAAGCAACAGAAAAGCTTTTTAAAAAGGGTTTGATTTAACATAAAACATCTGCACATTAATAAATTAATGACTTGCCCAGCTCTAGAATGTGACTGGCCCATTAGACTCTGTATTTCCTCCCTGGAGAAGGGAAGAAAGGTAGATGGTGGTGTGATCCCAGGATCCCTCTATCCTAACTGATCAATCTGTATTCCCATCCACCAAAGCTCAATTCCAAAGTCAAGCCAGGCCATTCTCACTAAATTCATCACTATCTCTTCCAACTAGTTAGTTCCCATAAGAGTCATTTGAGCATGCTTCTTTTTTTATTATTGTTGTCATATTTTTGAATTTATAGATTTTTGCTGATTTCAATACTAGATAGTTATGAGGCCAAAATTACAAATAAATGACCAATCTCAGAAACTCTCAGTAAAATCAGCTTTTTCAGTAGTGTCTTTACAGGTTTATCCAATTTGAATGTTTATATATTTATACCAAACACTAGAAATATATACCAATTCTAAATAACACCTTTCTCCCTTCCTAGGAACTTGTCAAGATTCTAAAAGCAAAGAAAGCTGCTCAAGAGAAAGTACTGAATGCAAGTGGAGCCAAGAAATAACTGAAGACCCTCTTTGTTGTGTGTGCATTTTTACAATAAAACTGAAATACTTTACAAGTTTTCATATTTAAAATTATACTTACGGTGAGCATTTGCAAGCATGCTGTTCTGACATAATTTCTCAGAGATCTACCATTCACTGCGGTAGTATCACCCTTTAAAAATTTGATGCAGTATTTCTTTCAAATTTCCAAGTATGTATATTCATTTTTATTTTTTCCTTCAGGAATTGATAGCTTTAAACTTGCTAGTCTCTGTTAGTTTTATAAATATATATGTTCAAAATATTTTGAGCCCTGGTTGGTGTGGCTCAGTTGGTTGAGAGTTGTCCCATGCATCAAAAAAGGTTACCGGAGATATAGAAGGACAGGGAGAGAGAGACAGAGAGACAGAGAGGGGGAGGGGAAAGGAGAAAAAAGGGAGAGAAAAAGGGAGAAATGGAGAGAGAAATGTTATCTATCTCCTACTAGTTCTGTGTCTCTGTAGATCTCTGACTAATATACTCTCCAAACTCATCTCTGGTCACCACTCCTCCACCAATACTGCAATCTTCTACTTCCACACAGATAGTTTCCTTGAACTAAATCTTGACCATCTCAAACAATTTTGGAGTTCCATCAGTGTCCAGATTCTCTCCAGATTCAAGCACTGCATACATACTCTTCTGCCTTTCAGATTCCTTATTCACCATTCCAAGGCCTAGTTAGGTTTTTAGTTCACTTAAGATTTCTTCCAGAAACTTTCCTAATCCTTCTACGTCTCCAGTAGATGCCCATAATGAAAATTTTCTTTATCATTAGTGATCCCCACCTTTCACAGTATATTTAAATACCTGTTCACATATCTATTTCTCTTTCATAGTAGTGGTTATTACACTCTTTGCAACACAGTTGCCTCAGAGATATGATGAGAGCTATGGACCCTCTCTACCCATAAAAGTGCAGATACATACCATGGTTTCCATGGACCCCTACAATAGGATGCCAATTCCTTAAAAGCAGACACAGTGCGTACTCAGTATTTGGCCCAATGAGTCTCCCTTGGTAAGCACTAAAGAAAAATGTATCGGCCCTGGCTGGTGTGGCTCAGTTGATTGAGCACTGTCCCATGCACCAAAAGATTGCTGGCTCTGTTCCCAGTCAGGGCAAATATCCAGGTTGCAGGTTTGATCCCTGGTTGGCATGCATAAAGGAGGCAACTGATCAATCTTTCTTTCTCCCATCAGTATTTCTCTCTCCCATCGATGTTTCTCTCTCTCTGTCTCCCTTCATCTCTCTCTAAAATGAATTTAAGAAAACAAACAAAAGAAAAAAATGTATCAAATGCATACCCATGTTTACTAGAACTAATATACATATAGAGATAAAACACCCATGGCTAAACACATATTTAGTTTCAAATGTATAACCTGAGGAAAATCTAACACTGGAGAGTAATCCAGGGGCCTTAATAAACAACTTGAAAATTAGCCCAATACCTAGATTAATTATGTATACCCATACAAACCTGGTCCTGGTTGGTTTGTTTGGAAAAATCAGTTTGCTAGGTTTATGGCCATAGTACAGTTTGCTGCAATAAAAAGTTTTTATAGCTATCCCTGGCCAGTGTGGCTCAGTTGCTTGGGTGTCATTTGTGACCTGGAAGGCTATCAGTTCCCAGTTGGGGCACAAGCCCAGGTTGTGGCTTGATCCGGGTAGGAGGCATGCAAGATGCAGCCAATTGATGTTGCTCTCTCACATCGATGTTTTTCTCTCTTCCCCTCTTCTTTCCTCTCTCTCTAAAAAAAGCAATAGAAAAATTTTTTTATAAACAACTCTATAACATGAATATGTAGTTTACAACCCAAAACCAGAAGTTATATTTTTCACAAAACACGTATAACCTAAAGAAAGCAGTACCACTTTGAACACAAATTGCAAAAATTATTTTCCATTTGTTATGAGCATAACAAGTGAGGTAAATAGTCAGGCCCTGCTTGGTGTCCTGCCACAAACACAAAAAAACATAATGTGTGAATTCTGATTACATTTGTTGTACTTTGTGATTCTAGGAAACTCCTCTCAGCCCTTCATTAATAACATGTGTGCTCTGAATGAAATGCAGCTTAATTCTCTTCTCCCTTCTCCATTTCTAAGACCACTGCCCTAATTCAAATCCTCATGAAATCTTGCTTAGGCCATTTCCATAGCCCTACCTCCCTGCTATCTCTTCTTTCATGCTTCTATAGACCATTCCTCATGTTATTGTGGGAGTATCTTTAAAAATGGGAAAGAGAACATTTCTAATTTCCCAAATGACATTGCTCAAAGTTATTCAGTGGTTCTCTGTTTGAAGAAGAAGAAGAAGAAGAAGAAGAAGAAGAAGAAGAAGAAGAAGAAGAAGAAGAAGAAGAAGAAGAAGAAGAAGAAAGGAGAAGGAGAAGGAGAAGGAGAAGGAGAAGGAGAAGGAGAAGGAGAAGGAGAAGAAGAAGAAGAAGAAGAAGAAGAAAGGAGAAGGAGAAGGAGAAGGAGAAGGAGAAGGAGAAGGAGAAGGAGAAGGAGAAGGAGAAGGAGAAGGAGAAGGAGAAGAAGAAGAAGGAAACACCTTAGTGTGGTATTCAAAGTGCTCATCCATTTGGCTCTAACACTCAGCTCTAGTCACCCTGACCTAGACTTTATTCCCTGAATGTCTATTCCCCAAGTGCCTACTTGGCTCCATCTCTCACATCGCTCAGGTGTTTGCTGGTGAATCACCTATTTAGTTGATTTCTCATGAAAAATAGCACATCTTGCCCATCACTCTCTGCTCTCTTCATTTCTTTTCTTTCACCACTTCTCACTGCCTGGTGTTTTATGTATTTGTTCATGTCTTTAGTATCTCTGACCATTAGAAGGCATGTCCCATGAGTGCACAGACTTAATCCAACATTTTACTCAATGCTCCCTCCCCAGCACCCAGAGTAATACTCGGTTCATTCATAATAGGCCTACAATAAATTATTGAACAAATGAATGAACCTGTGAACGAGTCTACTTCTATTCTTTTTCTCATGGTAATTCCTCAGACAAGAATCTTCTTTTCTTCCGACACTACTTGACAAAAATCACATCCATATCTCAAGTCCCAGCTCTTTTACGTGAGGCATCCTTTCTCTGTGTTCCCACCATCCTCTGGGCCTCTCCTGGGCAAGAGACACTTATTCTATTTTATTCTGTGTAATTGGATGCATCAGGGAAGACGGCCTCTCTTCCACTACTGCTGTTTCCTTCTGTGTGGAATGGGGTTCAGCCAGCATTAGTAAAGAGGCCCTTTGCTGTCCCTGGACTCACTTTCCCTGTGGCAGTGAGCTCACTATCTGACTGGTAATTTGCGGAGGTCTTGCTCAGATCCCTAATGTTCCCTCTCGGGGGTGAGCTGCCTGCAGAGAGCAGCGGTCCTCGGCCCTCTCCTCAGGGCAGACCAGCTCCCAGGGAAAGCTTGATGCCACTGGTGGGAAGTGCCTGGTTCTGGGTTTGATCAGCAAGTCTGCTGGCTCTCACAACAAGCTCCATACTTCAACCGAGCACTTAATCAGTAATAAGGACTGACTGCTGTTTGATTTCTCACTTTTCAGAACATAGAGGTAGAAAGGGAAGAATACTGTCATTTATAACCTTTCATCAGATCTCTCAAGATTTCCATGTCTCTCTCTTGTGTGATCCATACACACCCACCTGCACAGGATCTAAACACTTTGAACTGAGTTGCTTTTTAAATATTGATATGGATTTACATCATGGACCGTATTCTCTCGCCTGTGACTGAAAGGACAGAACAGGACTGATAGCTGTGTCCCTAACCCCTCTTCTAAGAAAAAGCCGCAGAATGTATCAGTTACTCAGCCTACCCTTATCTCGGCCAATGGGAAAGCGAGGGAAACTAGCCCAAGGCCAAAAGTATGCTAGCCACCCCCATCTTTGTGTAACCAGACCCTAGCTGCACCCTGCCCTTGCGTCACTAGCCCCAGGCCCTCACTCAACTAACCGGAATTGGCCAAATCAGTGGTCAGAGTGTGCCCGCCCCCTCCCCCCCCAACCCCAAACCCTATAAATTCTTTGTTCTCTCGGAACTCTGGGCTCTCTAGCACCCTATTGCTGCGTCAGTAGGGGAGGCAGAGGGACCAAGTCTCGGGCTTGAATAAAGACTCTATGCTTTTGCATTGGACTCGGCGCTCCCTGGTGATGTCCTTTGGGGGATCTTGAAATCTGGGCATAACAGTGACCAATAGCCAATATCAGCCAGCATCTACAGGAGATCTGACACAGTTGGGGATGGGGGTCATTTGTAACACCACGGGTGCTTCTCTATGAGTGTTCACTGCAGGGCTGGATCACAGAACCTAACCTCGTTGGCACCAAATTCTAATGAAATGAACTAGTAAGAGCAATAATACTTGGTGACTAGAAATGAAGCTAATGAAGAAAATATATTTGGTGTGAATTTTATAGCTCTAAAACATTCACACTGCACATTCACTTACACATTTCAAAACTGTGATAAGTTGAGATGATGTATACTTAATTATAAATACTTGCTAAGTTAACACCCTCTTAAAAATAAAACTGTTTTCTCCTGGCAGACAAAGTGCTTGCTCTGAATCAGTTGGAGGCTTTCACAAAAACCCTGAAAGATCTAATTTTGTAAAAGGTCCTGTCACAAGGGAAGAACGTCACCCCAGCAGTGAACTTATCTCAACCGGCTCCATGGGCTCACTGTAGTCACAAAGCACTTAGATTACATTACACACCTATAGAATGTGGGTGGATTTCATAGAATAAAATAAATGCAAAATAACTACAGGCTTTTCCTGTAGAAAAAGAAAGCAAATCTGCTCACCTGAAAACACATCAAGTCTTGCAGCCCCGGCAACTCTGAAAACAATATAGAAATGGCATTGCTTCAGTGTGAAATTGTTTTAAAAATTACCTTGATCAGCACTGCTCATAGAGTTCCTCAACTGTGGGGGTCGGCGGCC